CGGACGCCGAGACTGATCGTTCCGAACGGCAGAAGGGCTCCACCGCGTGACGCGCCGCTCAGCGCCAGTCGCAGCGAATTTGCGCACGTGGGAGCGCCGGCCCACGCGACTCGTTCGCGCCAGCGGCTGCAGGGCCGTGCCCTGCGGCGCGCTCGGTCCCCCAGGAGGCCGGCCTGAAGGCGCAGCCTATTTGGGGGTGATTTTTCTACTGAAGAAGGTGGTTCCAGAATGCATGAAGGAAACATTTTAACAAACCGTTTGAATTACAGCAAGTTCCCCCCCAAACCATTATTCCTGTAGTTTTCAATATTTTCCCCAAACTAAATGTTTAATGATGAAGGGCCACGGGAAAACAGTGGCCAGCCTAAATTTAGGGCATTTGATCAAAAGTTCTTGCAGTTTCTGCTTTTGCCTTTGTCCTCCTTCTCCATGGCTCATGTTAAGGACATTCGGCTTCTGATGCTTAACTCGGGAACAAAGAGCAACACCGTAGCCTGAGGCAAGGGTCTGTGACAGCCGCACTGAAGACACGCGTCCCCCAGGGACGGCGCCGTGTGTCCCGGACGCACACGGAGGCACAGCAGCCCTGAAGTCGGCGGATCGCAATGCCCTCGCGCCAGACACAGCGCTCTGCGGGATGCATCTCCGGAGACTCCGCAGGACGTCATCTCGGATCGCAGCTCCAAGAGCGCTTTCTTCTCTTCTGGGGAGGCCCCACTGAAAACCGGCTCACCTCACTCCCTGAAGGGCCGACGGCCTCTGCCACAAAACAGCCCAGGGTGCTGGGGCAGTGACAGCTGGGTCCTGGCCCTACCCATGGGTGGCAGGAAGGAGACGGCCAGAGAGACAGGCTCCCAGGACAGCAGGCGATTCCCTCGCCAGAGGCCTCTTTCCCCCGAAAACACACTGTGTCAGGTAACTGGGAGCACACGAGGACGGCACCCTCTCAACACCGTTCATCGCAACGACGCGCCCCACGCCGCTGTGGTGTGGTCTTTACAGCCACGGACAACGTTTAAGTCTGGTGTCAAGAAAAATACAGAGATTTTCAATGTCTTAAAACATCAGGTTGAACTGGAGGCCAAAATCACCCGGTGTCCAATGCAAGGAAGTCGTTCTCCGTGTTGTCAAAAGCAGTTTTAACCACGGCTGCCACAGCCTTATTTCCACAGCTTGAAGAGTAGTTTTAAGGTTAGAAAAGTTATGAATGAAGAATGGCAGCAAAGCAGAAGGCATCACAAGGCATCTGTCTCAGGAGGAAAGATCTTTAATACCCAAAGCCACAGACATCTATGGCTTCATAAACATCCTCCTTAAAATATACTCCAAACACTGGAGCTAAAATGACTTCTCTCTGGGTCTTTTAAAACCTTCGCATTTAAACTAGCCCCAAATTCTATAAAAGCCGGCACAGAAAGCGGAGGCGCTTCAGAAGGGCTGCGGGGAAGGAGCTGGCACCAAGGAGACGAGCTCCCTATGAAGCCGTCCGCCCCAGAAAGCGTCTCCCTATCGCGTGCGAGGTCCTGCCCTTCCCATTCTAGAATGAAAGCGAAACGAGTTACCTTTCCTCTCAGAGCGCTTCTTCCGCCTCCGTTTACAGCGACGCCCCGCGATGCTGAACAAGGTCCCCGTGGTCCAAGTCCCGGCAATGAGCGAGGCCATACAGACAAGCGAAACCAGCCCGGGCCGGCCCCAGCCTTGTCCCTGCCCCCGGCCACCAGGCCCGCCAAGCGGCAGCACCCGCGGCGGGCCCCCCACCGGCTCGGGGAAGCAGCCCCTCCTCCGTCCCAGGCTCATTGCTCAAACTGCAGAATTAGGGCTTCGCGGACACCACAATGCCTTCGGAGCACACCACCCAGCAGTGACGTGTGACAGTTAACCCTTCCGCGCACTCCCGGACACACCACCACGGGAAGGAGTGAAAGACGTGCCGGGACTCCTTCCATGGGAACAGGAATCCCCACAGAAACACGCCAAGTCTCGCCTTAGAAAGGCTTCTGTCACCTTGAAAACAGAGCTCGCACGGCAATGAGGGAAGCCACCAGGGAAGGAGCACCGTGTACAAAACACAGCTGCGGAAAGCCCGGGGCTACCACAGCGCCCAGCGCAGAGGCTCGGCGGCCAGCCGCCGCAGGGACCCACAGAAGTGCCCACAAAGCATGTGGGTGCCCAGAGGAGCCCCGGGTCAGGGGCCACTCTTCCTCCCTGCTGTGCCCACCAGACGGCCCACATGCTGCTGTCTCCTCCGCTGGGGAGTAGCTTGTCCCCGCCGCAGGCTCAGCACCCCGGGCAGGCAGACACTGAGCCTTCACGGCATCCCCTGCACCCGGGGGACTGTGTCCGGGACCCAGCATTTAGGGCTGACACAGCACAACCCACAGCCCCAACCTCCTCTTGTCGGTCACAGACGGATCAGGCCCCAGGGGGACACTATCCCAGATCACGGCTCTGTGTCCTTGGAACAAAAGACAACGGCATCCGAGAGCCAGCAGATCAGGGGCTGTCCCGGGAGGAGCCGGCGGGGAGCACGTCCGTGGGAGAGCACTGGGTGAGAGGAAAGACAATGCAGTTGCCCAGGTCCTCTCTCTCGCAGAGCCAAGCCCCTTTCCAGGAACGCCCAGCACCCGTCTGCCTACGCGTTCCTCCAAAGGCGCACATGCTCGCGCGGGTCCCCGCCGAAGCGGAGGGCACCCTCCTGAGAGAGGGGCGCTCAACCCCACGAAGCAGTCCCTCTCCCCACGGCGCACTGAAGCCCAGACCGCTCGGGGTGACCAGAATCGCCAGAGTTTCATTCTTCGTAAAATTATTCATAGCATTTAACTAAATTCTCAAAATACTACATTAAAAATCCAGCTTTCTTTAAATACTCTTGTCTTAAAAATGTGATATTGACGGTAACTTATATTACGTAACTTACTTTTAATAGATAATTGTGAAGACATTTTCTGAAAACGTGAAAAAATTACAGTGTTTTGGTTTGTTGTTTAGCAAAATTTGCATTTTTGACAGAAATATATTCAAATTTTATACATTTTATACATTATGATTATGTATTTTATTTTGAATCCTTTGGATCAAAGACCAGATAGTGTTTCAGACTTGGAGGCCATATGTTTCTGTCGCTCGCAAACTCATGGAGGTGGTCGTGGCCTTGGGGTTGGGACCAGGAGAGAAGCTTCTGGCAAAGCCTTCCCCCACACAAGGCGCAGATTCTTCGGCAAAGCAGAGAACTCTCGGTTTGGGAGCTGGGTCTGGGAGGGAGGGGGGCACGGAGACACGGCATGGTGGGGGGCGGACCTCCAGGCCAGCCGCACTCAGGGAGCAGGGGAAGGTCCGGGACAGAGAGGAGCCGCGGGAAGGAAGCTGGGGCAGGACGAGGAAAGGTCAGCCTGCAATCTGGCGAGGGGAGCAGGCGTGGGGCCCTGGGACATCGGGTCTGGGCACCGTCAGTGTCCATGCCCAGACGGCTCCCGTGACGAGTGTGCAGGCCCAGGGCACGGGCAGGAGTGCTGGGGTCCGATGCCCACCCAGCCGGGATGTCCCCCCTCTCCTGTGGCTCTGCATTTCTCATGCCCGCCAAGGCCTGGCCCGAAACACCCACAACAGCTTGTTGTGGTAAAACAAGATCCAACAGCCAGCCTCTCTCCGGCTGGACGCCACAGGCTTCACTGCTTCCTGCGACAGGTTGCCTTGGAGGAAGCCCCCGCCAGCACCGTGCACCCGCCCGGCCATCCTGCCACCCGGGACTTGGGGGCTCGGAGCCTCTGCTGAGTTCGGATGCAGTCTATTCCCGACGGAGGAATCCTAAAGCAACCCAGGGGACTGAGAACCAAGAAACCACGGAGGAAACCGCGAAAAGGAAAGGAAAACAAAACACGAAAAGGAAAATGTAAACATTCTTCAATTATTTTAAATAAGAAATAAGAAAATTTCCTTGGACCTATTTTAAAATATGAAGTTACTTACTGTATTTAAAATCTGTTTGGGTATTTTTTCCATGAGTTTCTTTGTTAATTATTCCCTTGCCACGCACCGAAACAAGTTAGGTGCCTAACCCTGAAAATGGTCACACGCCGTGAGTAACCGGGCTGGAGACGCCAAGGACGAGCCAGAGCACACTGGCGCAGGCGGATCTACACAGCTATGGGCACTGGCCCAGGGTCTCCTGATGGAGCTGAACCAAGGAAGCAAGGTTTGAGAACACAGCGGGAACTTCTGGAGCCCTCTGACCCACGAGAAAGAGCTCAGCACTCTCAGAGTCTCGGAGGGTCCGGATGGAATCAAACACAGACTGTTTTTATGAAAGGGAAGTGATAAGGAGCTGTCTGGACACGAGATCCCTTAGGACGAGACCATCTGGGGAAACAATGCTCAAAGAAGTCAGGTAAAAACAGGGAGTGTGTCCCCAGCTATCAGAGACACTCCCATTTTCAATGTTTTCTCTTTCTGCATCAGGGCTTTCATTGGGATCTGGTCCCCCCCGCGCCCCCCCCTCCGTGGGGGGTCCGCCCTGCCCCAGGCACAGGCACAGCCCTGGTGAGGCCACCTCAGGGCCAGAACAAACTGGCACAGGCTTCCTCTCTGCGTCCTGGAAAGGAGAAAATTTTAATTTCTCCATCTCCATCACAACCCTGACCTAAAGGAGACAAAAATGTTTCACATCACGACACACCACAATTCATAAAAAGTATATTCATAGAAAGCAAAACTTGCAAAGTGAAAAAGCTTGCATACGCTCCTAGATCTAAAGTTCCCAGAGCATGAATCAGGGCGATCTGAAACCACAAAGCCGGGAAGTCGGGGGCTGGCGTGAGAGGCCGCTGCCCTGACCCGAATGCCCCCCGGCACGCACGGGGCCAGCAGTGCGTACAGGCCCAATGGCAGAACTGCCAAAAACCTAGCCCGTGTGCAGCTTCTCGGGCCCTAGCAAGTGGAAACACACCAAACAAAGCCCAGGAGATCTGCCATTACACGTGAATTCGGAAATGAGAGTTGACGCGATGAAAGACACAGTGGTGGGTTTGCCGGGAGACCCTCCGCTGGTACCATCTGGATGTCTGGACGTCTGTGCGTCCTGCTGTCCTGGGTCAGGGGTGCCGTGTTGTCAGTGGGGGCTGCTGTTCTACCTGCTGTCTTAGAGGCTGTATTTGTCTTGTCAGCACACATTCGTCACGGGGAAAGTCGTATCTCCTATATTTTCTGTCTCTTGATGCTCTGGCATATGGGAGTCTTCCGGACACAGGGAGAGACCGCCGCCCCCCCCCGACCAGGGCTCAGCCAGGACTGCATCCTTCCTATGCACACGACCCCCTTACGTCCTCCCGTAACTGTCACGTCAAGCCAGGGTTGCCCTTGCCCTAAATCATTCCAGGGCCAGGTACCAAGCAGCTAGACCACGCAGAGCCCAGACCCTACCATAGTTCTTCAAACTGCCGGTCGTAAGCAGTCTCTGTGCCCTGCCCTGCCCTTCCAATGGAAACCCCAAGAAGGCTCTGGACTACCTAGGCCTTCCCCTCGCTCCTTTCTGCCTCCAGACCAAGACCAATGCTCCCCATATGGCCCTGCATGGCACGGCCCCTCCTCCAGGAAAACATGAGTAGTAAAATCTTTCGATGGCACTGGCCTCCCTCTCCATGATGTCATAAACTACCCTCCCATGGGGACAAGCGGGACAGCAGTACCGTTCTCGAGACCAGCATGGTTGGACAATACCAAGTCTGCTTCATTTCCTTCTAATAAAGGGCACGTACAGGCTATAAAACAAAAGGCCAGCTGGCCCCCTGACCACCGCCCTGCGCGGCCTTCTCCCGTATCCGCTCTGCGCGCTCACGACACGCTCGATGAGACGGCAGTCGCCCATAGTCTCCCCCCCGCCCAACACACTCATCACGGTTCCCTCCTCACAGGACACAACCCAGCGCACAGCAGAGCTTCCTGCCGTGACAAGTGCTGTGTTTTCTGCTTTCCTGAAAGTCAGAGAAGCCGAGAATCCACGAGCATGACCAGGCCCACAGTGCCCCAGCCTCGGGGGCCTGCACCGCTGCCCGAGAACGAGTCCCACTGGGACGCTCCCAGAGTCGACGTGAGGTCCTGGCTCCGCGCCTCTCAGTTGTTTCTTCCTTCTTCCTGATTCTTTCTACCTTTAGGATCACTTAAGAAAAGCATAAAAATAGAATCCTGCATTCATGAGAACCAAGAAGTTCACAGCAGAACGGCAGTGATTCAGTGCCCAGACACCGTCTCTGCAATCACTGAACGGACACTTCATAACTTAAAGAGATACTTTGAAGATCTTTTCTGCAACTGTAAAAGTACATCCATTTCTTTTTTTTTTTATTTTAATTTAATTTTTGTTGTGTTCCAAGATTGTGTATGCAGCACACCCAGCGCTCCATGCAATCCTCGCCCTCCTTGATACCCACCACCAGGCTCACCCAGCTCCCCACTCCCCTCCCCTCCAAAACCCTCAGTTAGTCCCTCAGAGTCCACAGTCTGCCGTGGTTCACCTCCCCCTCCGATTTCTCCCAACTCCCTTCTACTCTCCATCTCCCCATGTCCTCCGTGCTATTCCTCACGCCCCACAAGTACATCCATTTCTGACTTCAGCTGCCACATCTTTGCGAGTTAACAGTACTGAATTCTAGGAGAATGTCATAAATAGCCCTACACCATGTAGCATCTGACGTTCCTGGTACCTCATTAATTTTATTTTTGTCCATGTCCTCAGAGTAAAGACTCTGAAATTTAATGTTCCTAGAACATTAATTTATGAAAAAGAACTCTTTAACAACTATTTTTCTCTTATAAGAAAAAAAGGAGTTGATTCCATTAGAATTCTAAAGTCTGTGAAATGAGTCTGTTATTACCACATAGAATCAACACATGGGAAATTGTAGCACTACTTAATATTAAAGTACCTCAGAACGATCTGTTAGCATGAAAACAGCAAATATCCATTCCTTCAACTAACACACTGGCTAAGTGAGGGCCAGGCCTGAGCAGGTGCTGGCGACACACCAGGGAACAAAAGCAGCTTCTGCTCGCAGAGGGAAGAGAGACAGGCGACAAGGGGCCCCACAAGCCATCGACTAGCCTCGTATGTCAGAGGGGGTAGGTGTTACCCTGGAAGGTGACTGGCGCAGGAGGGCAGCGGTCTCTCCCGGTCTTGAGGACAACAGCAGAGAAGCACACATGTGACGGCCCGAGGAACCGGGAGGAGGCACCTGGAAGACGGTGTCGAGGAACACAGGCAAAGGCTCTGTGGCAGCAGCAGGCACAGCCCAGGAACAGCCAGGAGGCCAGGCTGGCAGAGGTGAAAACCAGGAGGTCCAAAGGCCGGCTCCGGGGACTCTGAGCCAGTGCAGGGACCTGGCAGTCCCTCTGCCCAGGAGCTTTGGCCTGGTCCTAGCCTCTGGCCACTGGTGAAGAACAGATGCGGGGCGAGGGCTAACGCAGGGGGTCCTGTCAGGAGACCGGTGCGGACACACCCGATGGCTCAGGGCACATGATGGCAGAGGCAAGAAATAACCAACCCAGACACTTGCTAAGGGATAGCAGACAGGGGTGGCCTAGAAGAGAACAGAAGACACAGGATGGCCAGGGCTTGTGGCCCGAGAGTCTGGAGAGATGGGGAGACTTCGGGTGGGGTGAAGAAGCAGGGGTCCGGTTTGCTGTCTGAAGTCAGAGACAACGCGGATGCCCAGGAGGAGACGGTGGGCAGACCCAGGGTCCGAGGCCAACAGAAGTGCCCACGGCTGACAGGCCAGGTCACGAGTACAGAGCGAGCCCAGGAGAAGCCAGCACTGGGCCACGAAGGCACCACTGCTGGCAGTGACGGGACGGGAAGGATGGGCAGAAGCTTGCAAGGGAGCCGCCACTAAGGCACAGTGTGGAGGACGAGTTTACCAGGAACGGTCACCTCCCAGATACCACACACGGGTCAGCTCACTTACACCTCACAGATGCCAGCCTCTGAACTGCCTGCGCAAGGGGCAGCCTAGAAACGGCCACCATCTGTCTTACAGCCGTCAAGGATGTCACTCAAGTCTTCGAATGGAGCTGTGCAGTGCACAGTCCATACAGCTGTACAGTGTGACCACGATTACAGCCCAGCAGCAACCAGCACAAAGCCCAAAGCAAGTCTGTCTGGTCCAAGGCCCACCCTACCTCCAGCTAGCCAGGGAACTATGGGCAAGTTCTTACCCTCCTGGTTCCTCAGACTCCTCAGTACAACACAGAAGGCAGTGATGGGACCTGCCCCAGGCTCACTGGGGGGTCAAGAGAAGACGGTGCAGGACAGGGTGCCCAGCTGGGCTCTGGCCGCTATCGTTCCATCAGCACTGCCGCTTTATAAACAGGAGCCCTTCGGCCACAGGGCACAGCAGCGCACCCAAGGTCGCACACACCGTGTAAGCAGCAGAACACGGTTCAGAATCCAGGACACTCGGAACCGGGGCCCGAGTTCTTCACTCCAGTGCCGCCCAGTTAAAGCAAGAACATGACTGCTCGATTCCACTTCTTTATAGGTTACGATTCCTCACAACTTTAAGTCAAAATAACACATACATATTTCTTTAAATTAACACATCTTTATTTCCTATATGAAAATGGGTTCAAACAGATGGAGATAAGTATAGTTTACGTCTGCTCACAAAATTCCTCTACTCAATTAAGATCGTAAATTCAATTAAGCTTTTTCCCTTTTCTTTTACAGTAACTCTATCAAGGAATTTTAAATTAAAATCAGAACATACATTTCTCAAATAAGTACAGCAGATGTTGGATTTGGCAGGGGGAAAAAAGGCACTTAAATTGAAGGCCCTAAAATTAGCTCCCGAAGCCTAAAGCAACCTAGAGCTAAGGAAGCAGCCACGGGTGGTGGCCCGTGGGTGGGCCAGGTGGCCCGTGGACGGATGCTGGCGACAGGAACTCCCACCCAGTAGGCCCAGGGCTGCCAGGGAGAGCTCTGAACCCGTGCTACACGCCGTAGAAAACTCAGAAAGAAATGCTATGATTGAGTCTAAACACAGATTTGAGACTAAACTGGCATAGTCCACGGGTAGCCACGGTTCAAACAGGTATTTCTTTAAAGATGAGTTTTTGAAGCAGCCTTTAAAAATAACGCTTATTATTACCGAACATGAAAAAACAAAATAAAACACAAACCTCTTGAAATATAAAGTAGAACTGCTTGGTCCTTCAAAGAAGACAAAGTGACTTTACTCAACCTGGGGTAGAAAACCTCTGGCCGACCTCGTGTCTTTGCGGGTGACGTCGGGCTGCTTCTAACTTGGACACGTGTGGAGAAAGGAAGCAGCACAAACCTCAGGACGAACAAGAAACGTACGACAAGGACAAGTGTTCGGTCTGACTGAAAACTCAAACGAGAGTAAACAGAGAAGAAAACAATAACAAGGGGATCAGAGACACGATGGCCTGGACCCACGGAGCACAGAGCCAAAGCCACTCTGCAGTGCACGTCAGACACACACGTCCACAAACCGTTCTTATCTTACTAAAACTGGCAACCTGTCAGCACAACTAAAAACAAGACAACCGGCCCCAAAATGGACACGATTAGCCTGAGCCCCAGGTCACCAAACTGAGATGTCACCTAATCCTATCTACGGCCTCGCCCAGAAGCGGAAGCCCGGTGTCCGTCAGGAGTCACCGGGCTGGCATGAGCGAGGTCATCTGTCCGGCTGGCCCCGTGGTCCCCTGAAGGGGCGTGGCCTTGCCCAAGCAGCCCGTGCTCTCCTGGGTTGGCGTCCTTGTCCCACTCCTCCTGCCCAGACGGTCTCTCGTCTGTGTGGCTCCCTGGCTCCCGGGGCTCCTTCAGGGGTCACTGGACGAAGCCATCACAGACCTCTGAAACGGACTCTGCTGGGTTTTACCGCCACACATTCAGAGCTTGGTGGTGTAGGCTTTTTTGCATTTTATCTTGCCTATTCTAAAATAGTAGAATCACAACATTATGTTACACGTAAACTGTACAAAGTATGATTTTCTAAATACTGGAACAGATGTATGAAATTGGGTCTTCCAGGCCCCTCCACAGACTCAATTAATTATTGTTAAATTTATAAACTGATAAAATCTAATTTACAAATCCTACCACTCACTGAACCAAATCAGCTACAAATGCTCCACACCCCGACCTCCTGGGCTCTCTAAAACGGTCCTAATAAAGCCATTAAGCAGAATCTTTTTGGAAGGAGCCCAGCATCGGGGTTCACAGAGGAAATGCCTGGAAAACCGGAGATCGGGTGGCGGCTCAGCGGCCCGGCGCGGTCCCACAGCACCGCCTAGTGGTGAGTCATCGGCTCGCAGGGCGGCGACTCCGGGGGTCACAGAAGCCGGCTCTGGGGCCGGGGATGCCCGCTCAGACCAGGCCCCGCTGGGGCCATGAACAACCAAGACTCCCCGGGGGGGGCATGTCTTGGCTGCAGCGGGGTCTGTGCTAACCGCACACATTTGTCAGAACACAGCAAACTGTGCGCTTAAAACAGGTGATTTTTGTCCCATGTAAATCATACCTCAGTTCGTGCAGCTTAAGAACACAGAAAGCCGGTCTCGGTTCGAGGTAAGACCGAAAACCCGCAGATTTCAGGAAGGAGGAAGGAACGTATTCCGGCAAACAGAATGAGCCGGACAGGCTGAGAGTAACGGAGCACACGTTCCTCACCCGACGGGGAAACAACGCGAGCTCCAAGGGCAGCCACGCCCAGACCAGCCCCCGAGTGCCCGTGGCCGCCACGGCACCCCCGCCACCCCCGGCGCACAGACCAGGAGACTGGGCGGGGAGGCCGAGCAGGGGGCCTGGGGACCCAGGGCTGCCACGGGAAGGGCCACGCTCTTGCCCGCTTTGTTCCACCAGCCGCAGCGACGCGAGCTTCAGGAAAAGGAAACGTGCACCGGAAAGGCACAATCGATCCCATTATCAGGTAAGTTCAAGTGTGGCACGACAGTCCAGCATGAGCAGAGCGAGCTAAAAGAGGAGTCACTTTAACATTTTGCTGTGTGCACACGGCAGCGAGGGCACGGGGATGACAGAGAAGGAAGTACGATCACGCACATTTTACTTGACTCTAAAAACATGTATTCCTCGTAATAATATAAACACCACTTACGAATTGGAAACGGACTGACACATGGTGACAGAACAGAAAATAAAGTTTTCTGCTTTGATTACGTCAAAGAAGGAAAGCGAGAGGGACCCAGACCTGCAGAGTGAGGAGGAGGTGACAGGCAGGGCAGGTGTCTGCACGGGCCCGAGGCAGCGGGCCACTGGGAGGCAGTCTGAGCTCCAGGGTTAAGAACTGCTTCCTCGGACAAGCCAGTCTGGGCTGCCTGGCCTCATGTTCCCCACCTTCACCAGGGGTGCTACAAGAGTCAGACACTCATGTTCTCAGGGTCCCTTGGACAACAGCTGGCCACAGGACACAGTGCTAGACAATGAGCTATAAATGAAAGTATGGTGGAGGTTTCTGGAATGCCATGATGAAAAGGACAGACATGGGCCATGCTTACCTGACCATTCCCAGTTATTGCTGCATTGACTACAAATGTGAGGGCTGGAGCTTCAGCAGCTACAGTGCACCGTGAGAGAAGGGTTAGGAGAACCACTGAGATACAGATCCAGACCTTTGACACGGCTGCACTATCAACCAACTCTAGCAAAAACCTGCCTTTGCATTCTTTACTATGAAGTAAAGGAATAAATCCCCACTCTGAAAGATACTGTAGGTCATGCATTCTGGGACTTTCAGCCAAAAGCATTCCCAAATAACACAACAAAGAAGGGCAAAAAAAAAGTGTGACGTGAGCTCAAGCTGCTGGTATCTGAACTGAACATCAACAGATAACGTCTAAAATATATAAATCACAAACCAGCCAAGTTATTATTTAGAAACAAAAGTACGGCAGGGACTGCCATCTTCATCCCAACATCCACTCCCTCCTTCCTCTGAGGCAGAGCACCCACGTGGTGCGTCACTAAGAATGACGCTCCCAGCCCCCTGTGACTGGTCGTGGTCATGGGACTGAAGTCGTGTCTGCTGGGATGAACACAGAAGTGTCACGTGGAGGCTTCTGGGAACCTCCTCGAGACGGCATCCACGCACGCTTTGTCACAGTAGGGGAGCAGCAGGTGAGCTCAGGTGTGACAGGCCACACACACAGCTGAGTCGGGCCTGGACAGCTAGGACCTCATTCCAGCCCGTGTGCCTGAGACTACTGCTGTGCGGGGCAGCCCTCTCTCCTGGGGGGCCCCTTGCACTGTGGCTCTGTCATGGGCAGCAGGTCCTAACACTGACCAACCCCAAAGTATAAATATCTACAACTTTTTAAAAACATCAGAGGAAAGCGAAGGCTATGGATGGCCGATTTTCATCAAAAGCCTGAATTAGGTGACCTGCCTATGAAGGCATCACTTGGATAAAAACTGATACAACACAGACCTGGCGTTGGCCCTGCGGGACAGGCATCCACCCAGGCCCTGCCCTGCCCTTCCACACTCTTACCCTCTCCCTCCGCTCTACTGCCCCCACCACGCCCCCTCCCACAGTCAGAGACGCACTGTGTGTCTGGAGTCCCCCCACCAGCCCCTGCTCAGCAGCACCCCTGCCCGGTGCTCCCGTCCCACAGAAAACAGCACTGTACCATTCCAGTGGGTTCCGCTGCAGCCCAGGAAGCTCCCGCTGCCTGGACAACAAGCCACCTCCCTCTTGCCCCCACTTTTGTCACAGCAGCAGCAGATACCACTGTCCCAATAGGTCCCGACCCCCTCCCAGGCCTCCAAAGCAGCTCTGCAGTGGGCGCGAGACCCCTGCCCCCTCCTCGAGTTGCCCAGAAGGAAAGCCACCCTCGGTCCTCCCATGCTCCGGCCCCCAGACCCCAGAACCCGGAGGGAGGCCGGGGGCGCCGGCTTTCTCCGCGGCAGCTGCAGGGGGGGGGCGGCCGGCACCTGCTGGAACCTGCCCGTGGGCGTGGGTCTGGCAAGGGGCCCGGAGCCCATCCGCTCGCCTGCCCTTCATTCAGGGTGACGGGGCCCACGGGGCGCACCGCCCTGGGAAGAGCCTCCACAGAAAGCACTGGGAAAGCGCGGGGGGTACCAGACCTTCCTGCGCCCACAAGTGCGCGTCCCCCGAGCTTCCACGGTGCGTGCCTGGACGCAAGTCCCCAGCAGCGGCGGCCAGAGCTCCGCAGCAGGAAAACCGCCCCCAGCTCCGCGCTGCTGCCAGGCCGGGGGTGTCGGCCGGCAGGGGGGTGTTGGCCTGCGGCGCCCGGCAGCGCGGGCAAGCAAACTCCCGCTGTCCATGTCCCGCTTCTGCGGTTCGTCCTGTATGTTTCTGTCCATCAGGAAACTTGAGTCCACAGCACAAAAACTGGGAATACCACTGCTTTTTAGTAATTTCTCACACTTGATGCTGTTTGAACCGAGTTTTCCTCAGTTTTCCATTTTCCGGACAGAAAACGATCCCAAACCACCGGGCTGCTCCCGGGCCCCAGCGGGCGGCCACCGCCCCCCCACACCTGCGGCTGCCCAGGGCTCTGCGGCCGGGAGCGCCTGCGGCCTCTGCGCTCAGACACGACCCCCGAGAGGCCGCCAGCCTACCCCGGGCGCCCCTGCCCAGCGCCGTCCGCTCCCATCAGGCGTCCGCGTCCCGGGCCGTGCAACCCGCACCCCCGCCATCCCAAGGGCCGTGGCCCGCAGCCGCCCGCACATGTCCCGGCCCCGCGAACCGCCCCGCACCGCCGCAGCTCTGCCTCCCCGGCGCCCCCAGCCACTGCGGCGGCCTGGCTCCACCCGGCCCCACCCGGCCCTGCGCGGCCGCACCACGGGCAGCGCGGGCTGTCACGCAGGCCGGCCCTCGAGCGCTGCCCCCGCGGTGAGCCGCGCTGCCCGCCCCGCGCCCCGCGGCCGATGCTCCGCTAGGACAGGGCGGGAAGCGGGAGCGGCCGTGGCCTCCACAACACGCCGCGGCCTCGGCGCCCGCGCTCGGCTCCCTCCAAGCTCTGCCCCCAGGGGCTCCCGTCGGCCTCCCCGAGCCCCTGCCCCCTCCGCGTCCCCCGGCGCGGCGCTCGGCTTCCCGCCCGCCCAGGCACCGGGGCTCCCGCCACGTCCCGCTGCGGTCGTCCTGGGGCGCACGAGCGCCGGCGGCGGGCAGCGCGGCCGAGGAAGCCGGGCGGTCCCAGCAGCGGCCCCGGCTCAGGTCCACAGACGGTCGCTGGCGCGTCCCGCCCCTGCCCGCTCGCTTGGTAACCCCGGAGCCACGGGCCCGCCCCCCGCGCAGACCCCTGCCCCGCGTCCCGGCGCACGGCGGACGCCTGTAGGCCCCGGCCGGCCGGTGCGGCCTGATGCTGCCGCGCTCCCCGCCTTCCCAAGCCGCCTCGGGGCTCCGACTCCCGCAGGCCGGCCCTGCTCGCCCCGGGAACGAGCGCGACTTACGTGCTCATCGGCCGCCCGGAGGCCTCTTCGTGGAGACCCGCGAGTGTCCCGCGCCCGACTCCGCCGCGCGGCCCTGCCTCTCTGAGCCGCCGGCCGCTCTGCGTGTCGGACCCTGGAACAGCCGGCCTCGGCCCACTGGGCGACCCATCAGGCACACGCCGCCGGGACACGTGCCCCGGGCAGTACAGGCGCGTCAGGCTCCCGCCCCGTCAGGTGTCCGGTGTCCGTCCTGCCAGGGCGCGACTCCGCCAGGTAGCGTCCCCCCGTCCCCCTCGGGTGCAGCAAAGCAACTTCCCTCCACACTCTGTGGGGCACCGGCGACCCACCCCTCCCCGCCTTTCCTCTCCTCACCCCTCTCCCTCCCCATCTACACCCTGGACAATCCCCTCCCTTTGACGGGGGCGGGGCCCCGGGTGTGACGGCCACACTTCGATATAAAGCAAAGGGGAAGGGGTTTTAGAGACAAAATCACGGTCCCCCTTCAGCTGCCTCTGAGCCCCGGGGGGCGCCCCGAAGGCTGGCGAAGGCAGCTACGGCAGGCAGAGGACACAGCCCCGCCACCTGGATGGGGGGGGGACACGGGGTGGGGGGGCACGGTGGGGGGGCACAGCAGGGCTCCAAGCACCGAGCGGGATCCACCCGCGGCCCCCGAGCTCCGCAAGATGCGGCAGACGTCGGAGACACGGCGGCCCGGGAGCCCCTGCACTGGACGCCGCTGGCCTGTGTCCTGCAAACAACGATCGCGAGGTCCCGGTGCCTCGGGACACGGCAACAGAACGCCCGTCCCCAGACGCCTCGACCGCGGACACCTCAAGGGATGCGCCCGGGGCCACACCCCTGAGCAGAGGCCGAGGCGGCCATGCAGTCCTGCGGGCCGCAAGGCAGGACCAGAGGCCGGTGCGCCCAGGCATCCCTTGTCTACACAGACGAGGGCGCACAACCGGGGGTTGACGGGGTGCGCAGGGGCCTCTCCGTGCCGCCCGCTGCGGACACTCTCGTCCAACCTCCGTCTTCTCGGGGCCCAGGAGCCTCGCGGCGCGCGCATCCGACGGCGCCTCCCGCCGGCCGAAGCAACGTCCCACTGGCTTCACGCGCCCGAGCGGGGCCCGCGGTTGCCCACCAAGCGCCCCGCCTCTCCCGGGACCGCGCCGCACCAGGCGGCCGCGCCAGCCCCCGCCGGGAGCGCCTGCCCCGGGGCGAGGGTTCCCCACGGGCCTTCCCGGAAGCGGGAAGCTCGGCTCCGTCTGCAGACCCAACGCCCCTGGGAAGCGGCTCTGCCTCGCGTCCCATGCCAAGGGCAGGCCATGGCGCCCCGCCCAGGCCATCCAAGACGAGGCCACGACTGGCGATGCAGAACTTCACCCCAGCGGGCTGCGTCCATTCCGGCTCCCCAGTTCCAACGCACAAGAGCCCACAAGCGCCGGTGGCGCGGCTGGAAGAGCATCCCCGAGGCCGGAACTCTGGGCGGGACACGTCTCCCACCGCAGCCGCTGCCCTGGGTCTGAGCTCGCAGTGCCGCAGAGACACCAACACCTTGTCCGGCGAAGGCCCGTGAGCCAGGCTGGACCCACAGAGACACCTTCTCGGGGACAGTGACCAATGCCAGAAAAACAGAGAATCACAGCTCATTCGCAGTCAGACTCTGTCCGGGAAAGTTTAGGAACGCTTCTAAACGGAGGCGTCATCTGTGCCCAGCAGTTCCTCAACTGTGAGACCACTTTAAAGGAAAAAAGGTCGAGCTGTTGCCATGATTCATAAAGATCCAAAGCTCGGGGCGCCTGGGTGGCTCACTGGGTTGGGCCACTGCCTTCAGCTGGGGTCATGGTCCCGGGGTCCTGGGATCGAGTCCCAGGTTGGGCTCTCTGCTCAGCGGGGAGCCGGCCTCTCCCCCCCCCCACCCTGCCTCTCTGCCCACTTGTGATCTTTGTCTGTCAAATAAATGTACAAAATCTTAAAGAAAAAAATCCAAAGCTTGGTGCCACTGCAGCGTTAACCTTCACCACAACAGCCCTCGTTGGTGGGACAGGCCACCTGGATAACTTGTCACATGGACACCCGTGTCACTCGCTCCCCGGGATCCCACTGCTGCCTCCACCGTGATCTGGAGACACAGCGCAGTAGGCCCCGTGGGACAGCCGTCCAGGACACCACCTGGTACTGCTGCTGACTCTGGGCCCAAGGCTCCTAGGGAACACCCTCCCTGCTGGCCGCTCACCACCGTGCTGGGTGCTTCTGGCGCTGGGCAGGCGAAGGCACCACGGGGACACACAGGGCAGTCCCAGAAACAGAGAAGCCTCCTGCAAGGAAGGACTGACACGGTGGGGAAGGCAGCCCCCCAGCACCCAGCCCGCAGCCCAGACCCCCACTGGGTCTTTCATGGAAGCACAAGGCATTTCTCTGGTCTTTGCACACCTGAGCGTGCAAACACGGAACTGCCACATGGGGACAGGGAAGAGAGGGCCCAGCGTCCTTTGGAACTGCCCCAGGCTGCAGGCGTAGCCGGAGGTGAGCCACTAGCCGCGGGTGCCGGCACCACAGGGCACACCTCGGTGTCCCCGGCCAGCGGCCGCACCTGAGTACCGGGTGCCGCGCACTGGATGACTCAAGGGGCCTGTATTATGCGCTCGTAATTTCTCTTTTACTCGGCATGGGCACTACATGCCTCTTTAAAATTGTATGGTGAGAGTGATACAAAGTAGCGCCTTCTGTCACCCTCACTCAGAGTACCACGGGGGAGTTCATAAATATTTGTTCCAGAAAAGTGTCCGGGTGTGGTGGTGATGAGAAGCACAAGCGTCGTGGCTCCCCGGCCCCTCTCGTGGGGGAGCCCCCGGGGAGACACGGTAGGGGTCCTCAGGCGCAACCCCAGCTGCCCCAACCGCAGCAGACACTCACGTGTAAGACACAAGAAACAGGGCGCCTGGGGGGCTCCGTCAGTGGAGCGTCGGCCTGCAGCTCAGGTCATGATCCCGGGGTCCTGGGGTCGAGCCCCCATCGTCGTGGTCGGGCTCCCTGCTCAGCGGGAAGCCTGCTTCTCCCTCTCCCTCTGCACCCCCACCTGCCTGCTTTTGCGATCTCTCTCTGCCAAATAAATAAATAAAATCTTTTAAAATTTTTAGAAAAGAAGACACAAGAAACAACGCCATCTCTTCGAGGAAGGCAAAAGCAGCGAGCACACGTGAAACTAAATGAAGCCGCGCGCTGCAGGGCCGCCGTCCCCCGGGCTTCTGGGGAAGCCACAGGGCCTGGTGGGCTCTTGGGCAGCGGCACACCCAGGCAAAGGCTCCGGCCGGCCAGAAGCTTTCAGGCTTACTTTTCGTCCCAAACCACCCTGGAAAAAGGAAAGGTGTCATACATCAGACTACGTGTTGCCAAAATTAGCTTTCATTTTCTGGGAGAAATACGACGTCTCTGCTCTGCAGCTGGGACAGCCACGGAGGAGCGCCCATGGAAGGAGGCTCCCAGTCGCTGTGCTGGCCACTGCTCGGCCCTCGCTCTGCAGCTCGTGCTCCGCAGCCCTGCTTCGGGCCTCGGTATTGCTCCTATGCCTTTAAGGACAATTTATTTCTACGGGGGATCACGAATAATTCACTTCCCCAGTGCACACTTCATGGGACAGAGATACTTGCCATTTGGCATACGGGACACAGAGACTGCGGCGCTCGCTGCCTCGGCACGACATGCAGGTTGTCCCCGACTGCACGGCCCCCAGCGACACGGACGGACGGTGTTTCCTGCAGACTCAGCCGCTCGGCGCCACTCACCACCTGTCCACACCCTCTAGCTACAGGGACGCTGATTTCATGCCACTAATCCGGCTAACAGAAGAGCTGGGGCGGAAGGCGCCCCCCACCGGCACGGCAGAAGGAAATAACCAGAACTACACCCCCTCCACGCTCTCAGGGCTCTTGGGCCAGAAGGGGCGGGGGTGGGGCCTGCGGTTAGAGAGCAAACCTTCCCTTCCAGGTCTCCCTGGGAGCTCGTCGCCTCACGCTCCAGACACATCCAGACTCTGAAACGACCAGCAGATGTGGTGCACCTGCCCTGCCCCGAGACAGCGAGCACCCCCTGCCCACCGTGAGCTCAGCGCCCGCCCCTGTGGCAGTCGCCCGAGTCCCCGGCCGCCTGTCAGCCTCTGCGGAATGGGGGAGCCAGCACGGGCGTCCAGCAGCCCTCCACGGACGACTTCCTCGTGCTTCGTCCCCACGGCAAGTCCTCTTGGATGCTGAAACCCCAACTTCCTCGAATTAGTCACTCTACAGCGGCAAATTAATCTTAGGATTAACTTCATCGGGACTTTAAATTTGCCTCAATTTCTCTCAAAAGCAGATGCTGAATCACATAATAGTTACCAAACAAGTAAGTACTAAATAAATTTTCCTTTAATCACCTCAAAGGAACTAACATACAGTGAAAAGCTTCCAGCAAGTGTAACTCCGTGCCGGGCAGGAGGCACGGCGGCACCCGGTGGAACCAGAAGCCAGGGCCGCTCTTGGCCACACGGCCACGGGGGGGCAGCAGCGCACCCACCCCGAGCCGCGCGGGGACCTGCAAGGAGTCTGGACCCCGGATGATGAGACCAGCCCAGCAATCTGGGCTGGAAGTTACTAAGAAAACACACTTGAAGAGGCAAACAGCCTTAATTCATCAGTTCACGTCAAGCAAAAGGTGTGTTTTAGTCCATCAGACGTTAGCAGGATTTTGCAACTTTGTACCTTACCTTTAGATTTGTGTAGCGTCTGTGTTTGCTCGGACCCTGGGCAGAGCGGCCCGGGTGCAGGCGGGGCCAAGGGACCCGTCTCCTTCAGTCACTCCCGGAGCTCGCCACGCCCGGCTGGAGACTTCACTCTGTGCAAGAGAAAGACCCAATCACTTCACCTGCTCCACACTTCAGACGAGAATTCTAATAATAAACACTGTTAATTAAAAGTCCTCATTCTAAATAGAAGCTTGAGTCATTTTTGGTGTCCTCCGCGCGTTCCCACAGCAGGTGCACAGTCATGAGCCTCACCCTGACACTCGCGAGAGGCAGGTGCGCACGCCCGCACCGGCCGCGTCCGGATGCAAGCGTGCGACAACCCACAAGCTGCGGAGGGAGGCCTCCGGGGAAACCCCCTGGGCACCTGTCATCTTCGGGAAGATAAAAGGCCACATGCACACACGTGGCACGCACCCAAGCATGCGTACAGACATCAGAAACGCACGGACGCAGGGCTCCCCTGCCCTTGCCGCCCGGGCTTGGAAGACACAGGCCACGCGTGCGTCTGCAGGCAGAGCGTGTGAAACGTCGCCACGCCACTTCCTCTCGGCACAGATGTGTTTTCAACTCACAGCTCATTAAAGGGAGCATGTCAACATGCTTATATACTGACAAAGCCTAAACACGCAATGTCGACATTTTCTTTTGGAGAAACGAACTGATATCCACATGAGGGGGAAGTCCAGAGTGCGGCCTCCCTGGCGCAGAGCTGCATCCACAGGAAGAGTGAGTAAGTCCCCGAGTGGGCGCCCAGAAGACCAGCAGCGAGTGTAGACAACTGCATCTCCAAACGCAGAGGGGCCCCTACCTGCAGACTTAGTCCAGTCACCACGAACCTCCTGGGGCCACGTGCCCTGGCTGTGGGGCCTCCAGGGTCAGAAGTGACCAGCCTCTAAGCCCCACATCTCTTAGCTGTGACTCAGTTCATCGGTAACACATGTCGGCAGGTCTGCGAGGACAGGTCTCAGACACGGTCCCCACGTCCCGTGCTGCTGTCGCCCGCGCTAACAGTGACTGACGACAATGGCCTCTCCGCCTGGGCTCGCCCCGTCCAGCACAGAGGCGTCGGGGCCGAGCACAGAGGTCTGCGCACACTGTCACTGAGCCGTTAGCACCCCGCCGGTCCTGTCTCCACACCCGGCTGAGGAGAATAAAGGAAGTGGCCGTGCCATGCCTCCGCCCTGTCCTCCACGCCACCCCCATCTGCTCAGTAATCTGGCCGGCAGCTCCTGCCCTGGCTGGAGGGTGTGCAGGAGACACAGGGAGCCCCTGCAACAAGGAACAAAGAGCAGGACCCAGAGCCTCCACAGTCCAAGGAAGGACGATGTGTGGCAGAATTCAGATGTCACCGCACCCACCAAGGTCCACCGACGGCACAGAGAAGGGAACCAGCAGGAAGTACACGGCTGCGGCTCACAGAAGCCGGTTCCAGTGCCCACGCTGTGACCCGCTGGCCCAGAAACTCAGAGCCCTGATGTCAGCCGGAAGGACCAGGCCCAGGACAGCCCAGCACAGCTGCCCCGGGAGAGCCGGACTCACGTGGGGATGGCTTCTGCCAACTGCAAAGCGTCAGCAGGACGAACAGGAATGGGGTGGCGGAAGCTGCCACACACCCTGGGGACTGTAGAGCTGTGGGTTCAGTCGGCAAGAGGTTGGCCTTGGGATGTCACCTGGCTCCACAGCTGCGGGAACGGGGCGGCCTCCAGGTCCTGGCAGCTATGCGGAGGACGGCGCCACATATGGCCCCGCGAGGACTGAATGGAGTCACAGATGTGGAGGGCTGGGCCCAGGGACAG